TCTCACCGAGAGCCAGCTCCGTTTGCGCTTCGCTGCCGACATTGCGGGCCTTTGTAGATAGTTCCAGTAAACAAATCCTTAGGATTTTATTTGCTGTGGTTTGGCTTTAGCTGTGATTTAAAAATAGAAATAACTGGGTAATATGTTTTGAAATATGTGGCTTATATGTAGTCAAGGATCCATTTGTCAACGCAGGGGAGTGAATCTTTTGGTCAGACAAAGATGCTCCAGACAAGACAGAACGGTTGGATGCAGGAGACAGTATGAGCCTCATTGTCTTCATCCTGGGGACGGGTTTGTCTCTCGGCTTGGGGACGGGACTACTTGCTTTGAAGCGGGTGGAAGGCTGGAACCATTTTGCTGATGACCAACTGGTGCATGTTTTTAAAACAGGCAAGTAAGTGTGCTCATGATGTGTGTGCAGTGAGACATCATGGTTAAGTGAGTTGATGCGCTTTTTCCTGGCCTGTTGTCCACCTTACTGGGTCCTCTGCCTCCTGCTTCTGCCTTCTGCTAGGTCCAAGGTGGCCTGTTCCTCTCGGGCCTTAGAATTAGAAGTTCCCCAGGTGGCCCCTGGAGGCCTGTCTGTTGGGTACAGCCACACTGACAGAGCCACTTCTGCCAAGAGCCTGCGTCCTCACTCCTACTCCCCCAGGTGTCCTCGCCTTGGCACGTGGTCCGGGCTGTGTGTGACCCCGCCAGGCTCTGCCCTCCAGTGGGTGGGAGTTGGATCTGCTGTTCAGAGGTGGCCTCTGGGTTTTCTCACTAGGTAGCATCCTTTGTAAAGGGCTCTTGCGGTCCTTCCTGTGACCGTATCTTCTTCAGCCGATGAGTATTTCAGAACTGCAGGGTGTCAGACCTGGAAGGGAAGCCCTCCCTGCTCAAACGGGCAATTTACGGAAACTCCTGGAGGCCCTGGGAGGACTTACGGTGTTGGTTACCGAGCCGGGAGTGGCATCCGGGGTTCCTAAATCCAGATCTTTCTCTCCACCCGCCACCTTCCTCTCAATAAAGTTTGCTTTGTGCAAGGCTGCGTGTGTTTGTTCACAGCAAGGCTGACTGTGATGGAGCTTTTCCTTTAAGCCAGCAGATAAGGGCATCTCTCCCGGCCAGGCTGACTCAGTCCTGTTGGTTGTTTTCGGGGGGCGAGTAAGAAAATGATTGCCCCTTTTTCCTAAATCATCATTCTCAATATAGGAGGGCTCAACAGCAGAATGTAGCTTCCTGACAACAGAAAATGCCACCAGCTCAGTCACTGGGGATAGATGCCTTGTTGGTACGTTTACACTTCGATTGTGTGCGAAGCACCTGTGAGAACAAGGCAGGCCAGACAGGAAGTTCAGAAGTGGGTGTGTGGAAGCCCGATTCCTGGAAGGCAGGACGAAGAGCTGCCGGGGACTGGGCTGGAGCTGCCAGAGGCTGGGGTAACAGGCAGGGCTGCTCCCAGAGGGACCTTGTGTCAGGCTGGGAAGGTAGATAATGGGAGGTAGATGACGCCTTTGGTGGTGCAGAGGTGAACATCTTACAAATACATTGATTTTCAAAGTGTATTAGGAAAAATTAGAAGCAGCCCTTCGAACCTATTTAGGGAGAGGCCAAAGTAGGCATTTAGCTCAAAACCATGAGCTGTTGGACGTGCTTCACTAAGTGACATCACACAGGTGGCATGAGGGCTTGGCAAAACAGGTGGAGCTGGAAATGAGTGAAGGGGGTTGGAATGAGTTCCAGAACGTGACAGTGGGGCGCTGTGGAGGGGACTGAGGTGGAGGGGGGCCTGGAGGCCTGGCTGCGGTCAAGGAGCCAAGGGGAAGAGGAAGAGGAAGCAGTTCTTGGGAGAGGAACTGATTCAAGGCCACCTCTGCTTCACCCCAATCCACATCTGCTGCACTCTGCGGGGCCCTCGCCACTCCCTACCCAGCTGTTACAGATCCTGAGCCGCCTCCAGTTCCCTCCCTCAGGATCGAGTCCAGGCTCCTCACCAGGTTAAGAAGGGCCTTCCTGGTGGCCTTTCCCTCCAGTAGCCACTTGTACCTCCCATCCCCCTGCCCTCCACTTAGGCCTTTCCCTTGAAGTTTCTTAAGCCCTGAGTGACCTTGAGACCAAGGCCTACTAGCCGGTCAGCTTCTGTAGTGCTGGGGCGGGGCTGGCTCGGCACCACCTCTGCTTCTCTTGCTCAGCACTCAGCCACTGTTCGTTTCTGGTGATGGTGTCTTTATCCTGCGAACTCCACATCGTCATCTGTGAAGAAGAGCTAAAGTCCTGCCTTATAAGGTTCTTGGGGGGGTGACCTGAGTTAGTAAATAGTTCACATACGCCGTTCAAAGAGTTTACTAAAATTAAGTTACCTATGTGCTAGGGACTGTATGCATCCCATTTGACAGATGAGCGAATGGAGGCCGAGATGAACGCGTCCTAAGTGGCACAGCTGGTGAGCAGCATAACTAGGACTTGAATCTTGGCAGCCCTGTCAAGTACAGAACCTGCTGCTCTGTGAGCATCTGTAAGGGACCACTGCACACTCCTTTAGCTATTACTCTATGTCCCCGCCACAGTGCCTGGCTGGGGGCAGTCACTGAATGCCCAAAGAGGAGATGGAGTAAATGATGGAGATGGCTGCATCGGGACAGAATGGGATGATAAGACAACAGGAGAAGGATGGGGAGTCCAAAGTGGGCTGGAAGCTGGTCGAATAAATTCTGATGGTGCAGTGGGAGGAAGCGGGGAATGGAAAAAGGGGCCCAAGGGTCTGAAGCAGGCACCGTGGGAATCTGGGAGACTGGCCAGCCAGCTGGCTCGGTACTCGCCCAGGGCGGCCCATGACACCCCTTTGTAATTGTCTTGAATCCTGGCAGCCCTGCCAAGGGGACCCTCGGTTACAAAGATGGTTAGGACAAGGTACAGTAAGACTCGGTTGTCTTGCTTTGATAAAATAAGTTAGGGGAACTTCCCGGGAATCGTGGCTCTTTGCCCAGCGGGCAGAAAAGTGTAGAACGGTCCGTGCCAGTCAGGAAGGGCAAGACCTTAAACGTTAGAGAAAGAGCATCAGGCTCTCAGATCCAGAAGGGCTGGGTGTTCCTTCCAGATCTGAAAAGACATTATAGATGATCTCTTCACACTCATGGAACAAGCAATTAAAGGAGGAAAAAACAATCAGAAATAGGAAATGACAGAATCACTTTAAATTGCTACTTTTCATTTTGAAAAGTCATTACAGTATCATTTGCAAAATTCAACAAGGATGCCACCGATGGCACATCCTGGGAACCGTGAAGAAATGTGACCGTGTGTGTGGTAAAGGGGGTGGGCAGGCCTCACCCAACCTTACCCAGAGCCAGGACCAGGCCCTGGCAGAGGCCACGCTGTGGACTGAAGCCTGCCCCAGCACCAGACTGGTGGAGTTTGTGGGTCCCGCCGTTTCCAGATGCTGCAAGTGACTGGTGAACCGTTGCCCTGGAGAGCTGTCGTGTTCTGCGTAAGGGCCTGGAGCTGCTGTTTCAGGAACTCAGAAAGCGTGGGGAGAAGTGAGGGCCCCAGGCCCAACCACGGCTGCTCCCAGCCCTGCGGTTAGTCTGGATGACGGGGTGAACACGCTTATTAACTAAAACCTCCTGTTATTATCCAGGCTTTCACCTGATCCCTGAGAAATGGGAGGCAAGTAAGGCCTTTGGGAAGCCCAGCCAGGTCCAGTAAGGGGAAGGCTCTTTTGGTGAAGTGTGACACCCCAAGTCAGTGTTTCTGAGACGGGGGTTGGGGTGGGGGAGGGCTGTCTGCCAATTCTCCATGGGGGCTGTTTGTGCCCATTTCCTCCCATCTTGATTCTTACAGAACCAGCCCTTCGACAATGTAGTGGATACAGAGCTAACCTGCGTTCCAGGCCAGCTAAGGTGCAAACTCCTTGGGGTCAGTTCACGTGGCCATCCATCCATGCTGAGGTCTGTGGTTCTCTATGGAGCGCATGTGGTCACTTAGCTTAATACTGTAGCCTGACGACCACAATGCCCCCACCAAGCTGGTGCTCAGCAGGGGCTTCATTTCAGGAAGTGTTTTTAAACGTCTGTCCCGGGTTGGACGGCTGTAAATGTCCTGTAGGCACGTGAGGGAGAGATTTGCTTTGGGACACGGAGTAACTCTATCAAGCTCGTAAGCTGGGCCTTCTCCCGGGTCCCCTGGGCAGGGGACGTTAGGAAAATAGCTCTTTGCAGATCCTGCAGGTGTCCTCAGGTGTCCTCACGGTGTAGCCCACGGTCCTTGGGTCTGTGAAGATCTCATGGTCGTTCCCACCCTGCAAAGACACAATGACACAAGCAGATGAGCAGATGCAGCCTGGGGCCGGGGGCTGCCCCAGGAACTCGCCGTCTTACTGGGCAGGGCGAGTTTCTCCAGTTACCCTGTTTCTCTGGAAACTTAAGAGACAGTCATCACTGAGGAAGGGGTGATCACCTTCCCTTGAACTGCGATGTAGCTGGGAACATGTAATTATGCCGATGGAAGACTCACGATGTTCTTGTGAAACTCTAAGGCTTATTTTTCTATAAAGCAAGCAAACCTGGCAAGTGACAGAATTCTCACTGCCACTGATTTAACTGTACGCAGACTTCTGACAAGTCACAGGGAATGTGGCAAAGCAGACATCCAGCGCAGCACTGCCCTCGGAGCTCTGTGAGGATGGACACGTCCATCTCTGAGCAGACGGGGCCACTGGCCACGTGTGACTGTGGAGCACTTGCTCTGTGGCCAGTGGACAGAGAAAATGAATTTGATTTTGATTTACTTAAACTGAAGCAGTCCCATGTGGCTGGTATCTGAGCCAGGTGACCTGGGTTTAGATCCTGGTTCTACCAGTGACCAGGCATGTGCTGCGGGCGTCTCCCACCTGTCAGAGGGGGATAGCAGTGGAATGTCACCCGCAGCGCCGTGGGGATCAGTTGATGAGCCCATGGGATCTGGGTAAAGCCCCTGGAAAGCAATGACTGTGTTGGCGGCAGGAGCCCTAACCCCGTCTTCTGGGTGTTTCCACACATTGTTTCATCTGGTGTGCCGCCAGGAGTTGAGGGCAGGGGGCTTTTGCGAGGGCACGAACGTATCTGGGAGGACCTGGGTGGGGGGATCCCCTCACTGTGGGTCCAGCTCCTCTGGTCTCAGGTGAATGAACTGGGCTTCCTGCCGAGTGCTTTTCTCCTCATGGAATTTTCCTCACAAAACTGAATAAGCAGTCTCACTCAAAATCTTTAAAAAATTAATTAGTTTATCATATAACGAAAATAACTGCTGAGGAAATTTTTTTTCCTCGTAAAGATTCTGTAGGAAAATCTGACATCCTTTTAAAGGGCTGACAGACACCTGAAATTACTACTGCTCTCATTTTTTAAGAATAACCCATCCCCAGGCTTCCCCAGGTGGAAGTGAAGTTTAAGATTTCAGGAGAGACAACTGCAGGGGACCAAGGCATCATGCTAGGAGGCCGTGACCTTGGAGCCATGTTCAGGAATGTTCAGGAACGTTCAGGAACCTTTCTCCGAGCCGACTTGGAGACTGCAGGGCCTCTGGTCATTCAGAGGGCCCCGAGTTTCACGAAAAGCATCTGCTACCTAAGCAAGTAAATGCCAAAACCAGTTCCAGTAATTCTTATGATTACAAAAAAAAAAAAAAAAAAAAAGCCAGATTTCTTAGAAATGGCATAGGGAAACACTACCACAGAGAACTGTGTTCCAAGGGAAAACAAACTCCTGCACCATCCAGAAAAAGCAAACGTCTGTCTGGGCCACGTTCACTCACTGGCTTGGGAGGGAGGAGTCAGCAGTCACCTATTAACCCAAGAAGCCAGGTAGAGCAAGTGCGCCCTGCTTGGCAGCGTTTCAGCAACTGGAGACAGTGGTGGCTCACAAAACCGCAAAGTAACAAAAGGGCCGCCTTCCAGCTCTGTCAGCCATGGGAAGGGCTGCAAAGAACAGAAGGGAACCCAGAGCGACAAGGGAGGGGCCTCTGAGCAGAGACCTGCAGGCAGTTGAGGGGACAAGCTGGGTGACCGGCTGTTTATGGGGAAGCTGCTGGGTGGGGCTGGAAAGGCCTTGCAGATCACGGTAAGGAGCTGGGATTTTCTGTGAAGCCACTGGAAAGCTGCAGCCTGGGACACCATGAGATTCCCCTACGGCAGGATCTTTCTGGAGAGTGGATGGGGGACGGGGTCGCAAAGGCAGCGCAGCGTTAGGAAGCTCCTGCGGCCAGCTAGGGCGCAACTCGAGGACAGAAGCCGCTAGCTGGGGAGAGTGACTTCTGAAGCTAAAAGGGTTTACAGCCATCGCGCCTGCGAGGATGTCACATGCAGGGACAGATGTGTACCTGACAGATGCCTAATTTGGCATGAGTCTCCCGTGGTCCTGCTGGGGTGGGCGGGGAGCCACCGTGTAATGCACCAACACTTAAGGAAACCGAGTCCAGAGGGTCACAGCCTCCCCCTGCCAGGCTGGGCCGAAGGTGACAGGGGTGCCTGCACCTTCCCTATTGTCCTTCCCCTCCTGCCAGCGGACCTGCCCTCCTTTGTGACTTTCAAGGCGCGAGGGCTCCTTCCTGGGGCTGCCTAGAGCTTGCAAATGAGAGCGAGCGAAGCCAGAAGCAGAGCTGAAACACTGAGCTAGCGAGACTGCACCCTCTAGGATAATGAGGCCTTAGACAACCAGAAGCTTCGACACTGGATCTGCATGGGCACCAGAGGTTCCCCGACTTAGCTGGGGAAACGGCCTTCCCCAAGATCTGAAACAAATCCAGCTCCTGAGAGGAGAAAAGCGAGTGAAGGGACAAAGGGACGGATAACTGACTGCATTCCCATCAGAGTGTAGGTGATGGGCCCAAAGGACAGTGCAAACCGCCCCTGAATACTTAAAGCCCTACTGGGCCAAGGCCTGGGGATGACACGGAGGCAGTGTCTGCCCTGCTCAGGCACCAGGGGAGGGGGCTGAAAGCGGCTCCATCTCCAGCCCGCCCCAGCTCAGCAAAGTTGCAGAATAAACGCTGATTATCCTGCCGCTGGAGCCAGAGGGGTCCGCGTTAAGTGTCTCCGCCCTGTGTGCCCAGCTTGACAGGAAGCAGGGTGGAATCTGCTGGACTTGGGGGGAAGGGCGGTTGGTCTTTGCTGTGTGAATACCCGCTTGTGGCACAGACTTCCTGTAGCTCGGAGTTCAGAGTCGAGCTGCCTATAGACATTCACCTGGCATCGGTTTAACAAGCACTTATGAAATTTCTAGGTATGATGGGTACGAGGCCAAGGGCACTGCCCTCAAAGACCCTGGAGCAGTGGTTCTTCCCAGCTGCAGATAACGCAAGTGCCTTGGTAAAACTGGGTCCAGAGGCCCAGGATGTCCTAAGAGCTCCTGAGCAATGACAGCAAGTGCTGCAAGGTGCCCGGTGTCCTGTGGCCACCGCAGTGCCGGCACACTGGGGTGCGTGTAGGAAACGGAGTCGAGGGCATGCTGCTTGAGGGCAGCATGTGGCTGCTTTCTTAATGTGTGACAATTCACTGGGGATGAAATAAGTCACAGACAACTTTAACACATATTTGAAAACATATGCCCTTAGACAACTGTACTACATTTTCCTAAAAAACAATAAACATTTATGCTTTAAAGAGAAACAAAAGCTTGGGCCGAGGACCATGATGTTTTGAAAGCGAGCTGGAGAGTCTAACGTACTTCGCGGCTGAGAACCAGTAGCTCAGAAGCCAGCGAGGAACAAGCTGGAGGCGTGGTGGAAAGCAAGCTGGCTGTCAGGCTACTGTCCCTGCGGTGACCCTCAGGGCCTGCTGATGGCTCTGGCTCAACCCCCTCATGCATAAACGGGGCTCAGTTGTATGATGTGCCTTGGCACTGCACTCAGGAGATGCTGACTCAGTGGACCTAAGTGACCATTCCGGAGGACTCTGGAAGGCTGGCCACACTCCGAGGGCCTGAGGCCTGTGTCTCCCTGAACTAAAGAGCTGTGGCACAAGAGGCTCTTTCCTCAGGGTGCATCCGCTCAGCCACTGTCTTGTTCTCAGGACCAATGAGGCCACCAATTTTGGTGTCCAGAGGCAAGCAGGCCAGCAGGGACACCAGCGAGCATCAGCAGCCCATGGTCCCCTGCACGGCATCTGCCTCCTGTCCTCCCACAGCGAGGCCAACGGGGTCTCCTGTGGGGCTGAGAGCCTCTAATCTGGCCCAACTCGAATTGCTGAGTCAGAGTCAATCAGTGGTTTACAAAGTGTCAGAATGTTTTCACACTGTAAATGCCTTAAAGCCACAATGTTTTCTACCAAAAGCATTAGACAAGCAGAAGCCGTCTTGCCTGAGAATTCGGGAAGGCTGGAGGTGGCTGGAGCGGCCTCTTGAAAGCCAGTCTGGGGCCCTGCCCTCTTCCCCAGCTGTACTCGGACCCTGGCTGCTGTGGCTGAGGGGAAGGATGAAGGCATGTCTAGGACTGACCAGTGTTTAGAAAAGCAAGGGCCAACGCCTTACTTCTTGGCTCTGCTCTCTGGAGGTGCTCAAAGCAGGGGGTGCACTTTG